GGCCGAGGCTGCGGTGGCCGGGAGCGGCCACTGCGCTCCAGTCTGGGCGACAGAGTGAGACTCCAACTCAAAAAGAAAAAAAAAAAAGAAAAAAATCAAATTCATATTGTAAAAGAGAAAATGCCTTGATATTTTAATGATGCAAGAAATCTTATCAAAAGTATGATAAACAATATTAAAGGGAAATTAGAGAAGTTATGAATGACACAAAAAACCAAATATGAATATTCACAAATTATATCAACACTTTGCCAAGTAAAGGCAGAAAAATAAGAACACATCTATTCTCTCACTGGTCAACAAATTCATCTACTTCTAAGTTCCCTGGCAGAGATTGGGCTATCCCAAAGAGTAAATGAGAAAAGCTCATTTAAGAAGATGTCATCACTTCTAAACAAACAAATTAACATATTTAAAGGCTACAATACCTGAAATTAAGCTTGTAAGTGTGACATTAGTCACAAACATTTTGTTAGAGATTATTATGAACTGTGAAGAGCCTTATAAATAATCAAAGACAACCATTTTATTTTGAAGAGGAGAAAATAAACTCAGTGACTCTTAACTGATTAAGATTCTACTCTAATTTAGCAAAAACAAATAAAGATGACTCACTTCTATGGCCAAGACATTGTTTTGACCATGCCATGACGGTATTCTGATTTTGGAACAGCCAACAAATTCGAAAGACCATTTCCCCCAGATTGGAGGGTGAATACCAAAGCCAAAATAAAGCTAGTCAGGATGGGGAGTCCACCAATCTTCTTGGCCAAATGTGTGGTCAGCGCCCACTGCCCTAACTCTGGAGGTATTTCTTTCCATTAGAGTTATTGTTGCTTGAGAAGAATGCAGGGAAAAGCAAGATAAAAACAAGATTTTTTTTTCAGTCACTTAATTTCCATAAATGACATCATAAATTATATATTGCTGTTGCCAAGGAGATATAAGAAATACATAGCAGAAGGAAACAAAGAAATTGATTGCACCAAAGATGACTATCACAGGCTTTGAAGAATCATTTTGCCTTTTGAGTTGTTATGATCAGTTCTCCCTAGGCACAAAGACATACTGGTTTTCTAAAAATACCCAATCATTTATCCATTCAGCAAAGAACAAAGAAAACATCAGCACAATTCTCATAATTCTCTTTCTTTTTGCAGCACATAGAATGAGGGGCCATTTTCCTGCCATATGCATCAAGAATAGGGACAGTGCTTATTATTACACAAGATACTATCCTATGTCCAGAATCTAAGAATTCTACCTCAAAAATTCTCAAATAGGAAATGGTTCTCTGCCCTAAGTTAACAACTAGTTTCCAGTCAGTGAGTAATTTTTTTTTCCCTGAAACATTCACTAAATGGAAAACAAATGAAGAGGGAAAAAAATTAAATAAATCTGAAAAAAATTAAGTAAAACAGAGAGAGAGAGAGAGAGAGAGAGAGAGAGAGAGAGAGAGAGAGGTGGAGAAGTCTCTAAACTTACCAGTGAAGGAAAGCAGGCACTTAAAATTTTTCCCAAACAAAACCGTAATTTTAACTGGTCCCTGGGTTGAGCCTCTCTCGATGAATGACTTCCAGGGCCTCTGGCTCTTTGGGACTAAACGAGAAAATTATTTTTAGCACAACTATTTGGAAATCTTTGAGAACTTAGATCTGTTATTCTGTCTGGTACTAAAGCAAGTTTTCACTGAGCGCTCATGAAAAATCCTATATCTCTTGGATTTAGAATCCTGAAGCAACCTACCATCCAAAAGCAAGGTATGGTGTTTACTCCTCTTTTTTTTTTTTTTAGACTTTTGGTAAACATAGATGCAATGGCCTGTTTTCATGATGGTAGATTTTTAGCATATTAAACAGATGATTCTGTAGGAAGAAATCCTGAAATTGAAGACCTGAGTTCCAATCTCTGGCCTAACGCTAGCTTTGTGAACACAGACAAGTTTCAGGACTTCTCTGGACCTTGGTGCCCTGTCCAAATTACCATAGCCAAATTTGGGGGGAGGGGCAAAATCTTGCTCTCTAGACTATAAAATGCTTTGCAGATATCAGAGTTTTTAATCATTGTGCCAACATAGCACTTTTCATAAAACAGTCAAAACGTAATAAATATTGATGAATATATATATTCATTCAACCCTCGTTGTGCCTCTACTGTAGACTGCTGTGTGTCCTAAACATTGGTGATACAGAGTTAACATTTTGGTGGAGAAACAAGCAAATCAATAGATAGCCACAACGTAATGTGATTGTGTGGCCTTGCGGGGACTTGAGTAGTGCCAGGAAGAGAAGGAAGGTAGTTCATGGCAAACAGAAACCCAGTCTGAGGAAAACTGGAACCTCAACGGCAAGGAGCTAATCGCCCACAACACAAAAGGTATTGGGGCATAAACAGCTCTGGTTCCTGTCCTGTCCCTATCACAGTGCCATTCCCAGAGCAGCAAGAGAGGCACAGAGCCTGCTGTTGTGAAATCCCCACCTCTGCAGGCCAAGGAAATGTCTTGTTTTGGCTTTCCCTGGTTACCTATCCTTTTCCTAATGATTTCCAGGCAAAGCGCATTTCAACTTGAATTAATAATCAAATTCAGCCCTTTGTCATGAAGTAATATGCTGTAATTTCCCTCACATGATGTAGGGGAAAACTTTACAGTTTGGAGACAAAAGAACTCAGTTCAAATCCTGGCTGCATCGTTTCATGCCTGTGTGGGCTTGAGCCCAGAGAGTCTCAGTTCTCTTATTTGTACATTGAAGATAATAGCTCCTACATCATAAAAAGTGGTGTGGGGATGGACATAGAAAGATTAGTATTTCCCTATATCCCAATTCATTTTTTTCTTAGTATTTTTTATTGTGATGAATTATGCATCATATAAAATTAGTCATTAGTCATTTTAACCATGTTTAAGCACAGTTCTGCAGCATTAAGTACATTCATATTGTTATGCAAACATCATCACCATCTCTTTAGGACTTTTTCATCTTCCTAAACTGAAACTCTGTACCCAGTAAACAATAATTTCCCGTCTCTCCATTCCCACTTCGCCCAACAATCAGTATTCTACTTTCTGTCTCTATGATTGTGACTACTCTGGAAAATTCATATAAGAGGAATCACATAATATTTGTCCTTTTGTGATTGGCTTATTTCACATAGCATAATGTCTTCAAGGTTCATCCATGCTGAAACGTGTGTCAGATCATCCTTTCTTTTTAAGGATAAATAATTTTCCATTGTATGTATAGACCACGTTCTGCTCATGCATTCATCTGTCAGTTGGACACTGCGTTGCTTTCACTTTTTTGTTATTTTAAATAATGCTGCTATGAACATGGGTATGCAAATATTTGTGATAGCTCCTGCTGCTATGACCAAAAGTGTGAAAATATCTACTTTAGTCACTCATGTTCTTTTGGATATATACACAAAAGTGGATTTGCTAGATATCATAAGGCAATTCTATTTAATTTTTTTGAGGAATCATTATACTGTTTTCCAAACAGGCTCCACCATTTTACATTCCCATCAACAATATCTTTTATTTTTTCTATAATTTTATTTTATTTTTTATTTATTTATTTTTATTATTTTAGAGACCAGGTCTCTCTGTGTTGCCCAAGCTGGTCTTGAACTCCTGGGCTCAATCAATCCTCCCGCTTCAGCCTCCCAAATTGCTGGGATTACAGGCATGAGTCACTGTGTAGGTCATCTTTTATTTTATTTTATTTATTTATTTTTTTTTTTGAGTTGGAGTCTCACTCTGTCGCCCAGACTGGAGTGCAGTGGCCGCTCCCAGCCACCACAGCTTCGACCTGCTGGGCTCCAGCGATCCTTCCGCCTCAGCCTTCCGAGTAGCCGGAATTACAGGCGCGCGCTACCACGCCCGGCTGGTTTTTTGATTTATTGTAGAGATGATGTCTCGCTGCCCAGGAGGGTCTCGAACCCGCGGGCTCAGGCAATCCACTCACCTCAGCCTCCCAAAGGCGCGGGATTACAGGCTGAGTCACCGAGCCCGGCTATCTTTTATTTTTAAAAGAAAAAGAAAGGAGTATTTACAAAGGGATCTCAATCTACGAACACATTTTCTAGGAGTTCAGTCTTTGTACTGACTTAATCAATGTTTCTCCAAGTGTTCTCCATGGCTAGTTTAGCAAGAACAAAATGTTCTATGACTAAAAAAATTTACAAAACACGATATACCACATTCCTGACTTAAATATTCAAAATATACATTAACATGAAGGCTCTGGAATCTAAAGTAACACACATTATTTTTTTTTAAATATGTGTTTAAATAACTAAAAACTCCTTACTTTGTAATCTCTATTAAAAAATTAGGTTGAACATCATTTACAATTAGCATCCAGGATAGACTTGTTTAAGATTAACAATATTTCCAGACCTTCGATTTTCTAATTCCAAAGGTGCACAACATGGAAAAAACACATTTTATCACATATTTTATATAAATTTGCACAATTGAATTCAATGCTTTAAAGCATATTGTATGAGGAGTGACTGCTATGGGGTATAAGTTTCTTTTGAAGATTTAAAAAATATTCTTAAATTAGAGTACTGTGTACATCAAGTAGTATATTTTGGAAAATTTTATGGTATGTAAATTATGTCTTTATAAAGTCATTAAAATTATTATGATGTTTATGAACTGGTGCCCCACATGGAGCACTCCTAGTTAAAATAACCAAGTTCATTGAAAGGCAGTGAGAGAGTGGGTGAAGGGTGAATCATTCAATACAAGGTGTTGAAAATGTAAGATTGTATCCCTCCCTCACACTTTTTGCCAGAAAAATTCTAATGGAGTAAATTTTTGAATGTCAAAAAAATGAAACAAAAGAACTGAAAGAAAAGTCGATTCATTTCAGTATCTTGAAGTAGGGAAGACCTTCTTAGCACAATAAACTGGACTTCAAATTTTTTTTTTCGTAAAAATATTTAAAAATACATAAACAAAGGAAAAGAAAGAGTGGAAAAAAGAATTTGTTGTCATAAACCACTTGTAGATAGATGATGATGATGATAGAGAGAGAGAGAGAGAGAGAGAGAGAGAGATAGGTAATTTGTTGCACTATTGTTTATAATAACAAAAAATAGCCCAAATTATCATAATAGGAGACTGGTTAAATATGACACATCCCTATAATGGATACTCTATAGTCACTTAAAGACAAGAAAATGATAGCTCTCTGTATACAGGTACCAATACAGAAGATATCCATACTGATATGGAAGCTAAGTGAAAAAGCAAAAGTACAGAACATTGTGTATGGTAAACCAAGGTGAGGAAGACGAAACACCCTTCCTGGCCATCAGTGATCACCGGGCCAGAAAGGAAGAAACTGGCCATCAGTGATCACCTCTAGGGAGGGACACTGGATAAAAGACTGAGAGGGAGGGAAATGAATTTCTTCATTCTAGGAATCAGGCTTATTTCAAAATCACATGGGCACATTCGTTTCTTTCTATTTTACTTTTCATTGCATACTTTTTTTGTTTTGAATTGTATAAATGTGCATGTTTTCTATACTAAAAAATAAACTTCCGAATATTTTTAAACATCCTTGACTATGCAAAATTAAAATAACTCCTTTTTTTGTATTTCTCAAATACTACAAAAGAGACACATAGACTTAAGGAAGACTTCTTTGTATTTCCTTTTCCCACTGGTAATAGTCTCATAATCCACTATTTCTCACAAGTTTTCATCCACAAAACTCAAGCTTCCTCTTCCCTCAGCCAAAAAAAAAAATCTCCTCTTCCCCCAGCTTGGGTTTTTTGTGATGTTCTGGGTGGTTGGACACATCAATGACTAAAACAAAGATCCCTGCCCTTATGTAGCCTATATTCTATCAGGTGGAAAAGTACAATACAAAATAAAGGCCAGGCATGGTGGTGTGCCCCTGTAGTTCCAGCTACTCGGGAGGCTGAGGTGGGAGGATCACTTGAGTCCAGTGCATTAGGATCAGGTCACCGCATTCCAGTCTGGGCAACCGAGCAAGCCCCTGTCTCTGAATTAAAAAATAAATCAGAATTGTCTAGTGAGCTAGAGATGAGAAGTGAAATGGAAAATAGAAAAAAGTAGAGAAGACAGAGGGGAGGGGAGGGAGTATAAGAAGGCAGGTTAAAATGTGAAGGTGATCTGGGTGGTACTCCCTGAGAAGATAGCATTGGAGCACACGTGTGAAGAAGGAGGTGAGGAAGTGAGCCCTCTGGACACCTTGGTGAAGAGGGCTGTAGACAGCAGGAAGGGACACATGAAGCCCTAAGTCTTCACATGAGCATACCTAGTGTCTTTGAGGAGCACCAAGGAATCCAGTATGACTGGAGCTGAGAAAGTGAGAAGGAGAACAGAAGATGAAGTTAGGGGAATAAGGAGGGCCTTATGGACCATGGCACTGAGTGACAAGAATTGGCTCCTGAAGGAAGTGGAAAACCAGAACAGGGAATGCCACTGCGGTTTTCATTTTAAACCGAACCCCTTGTCTTCCTGCATGAACTGGATCCTAACACTTGACGGACCACTCGCCACCATGCCACTGTTATTCAACAGGCACCATCCCATGCTGTCACTCAATGCTGATGAGGACTCTTTTTTTTTAACATGTTTTTTATTTTAAAATTGTGGGGTACAGTTAAGGGTTAGGTATACAAATATGCATCTTTCAGGCACCCTTCTTAATAAGGGGTGTCTCCCCATCCAGGGACAGATATTGACTACCGTTAATTCCACCTCCCTAGCACCCGC